CAAACCGTCGCACTGTTGATGCGGTGGCTGGACAATCGGCTGCCGTGCAGCGTATCGCGGGTGATTCCCACACGGAACAACACTTTGTGTGAATTAGTGTGCCTGTAAACGCACCCACGTCACAGGATAAAAACTTAGTGTGGAGCAATGGTTTTATAAAAAAAAACCCCTTGCAAATAGTTTTAAATGAGTGAAATGAGATTGAACGATCAAAAATCAACATTCTCACAACAATCTCTTAGAAGGATTCTACCTACCTACTATATCATTTTTTCTGCAACACAAATCAGAACAAAGCATTATCTTATCTAATTTGATAAATATCATAATGTCTTCATCTACAACGGATTGATTAGCTCTAATAAATAACATTGCATTTATAAGCATAACCCTAAACCGCGTAGGGGGCAAATTTGACCCATTTATTTATTTTACCCATAGTGAAATTGCTTGTTTGATGGATTTTAAACTTTATTACATTACATTAAAGGTTGGGATATTGTATTGGCTTCTGTACCAATAAATATTATTGTAATTTAGTTATAAAATTATGCAAATGTTATTAATCAAGGATTGTTAAGGTTTGGCCACACACTGAGTGAACGGAACGGTGTATGAATTAAGTTGTTCTAGAGTTAAGTTTATTTTTGCTTATTATTTTATTAGTGTATGGTGGTAGAAAGAGTTTGTAGTAGTGGTATAAAACATTCAATTTATTATCCTTGTTTTTTTATGGTTAAGGAAAAGAAAGTAAGTTTGAGCTGATTAATAAAGCGACAAACGTATTAGGTCATTATTTGACTTAAGAAATGACTTTTGAATATCATAATTAACAGAATCTATAAATTTCCTGTGTGTAAATTTAGGTGTTTCATTTTATTAATTAAATAACGCAATCAAAAACGATGTTGCCTTTTGCGCGGGGATAGATCCAACAAACCAAAAACCATGAAGTTTGGGCTAGCCGATCTTGAGTTATAAGTGTTGGAACAAACCCGTCTTTCTTTTATATATATACATATATATTATATACGTATATATATAAAAAAGTGTCGTGGTGGCCCGGAGGTTTAAGACGCCCACCTCTCATGCATGAGGGTGCGGGTTCGAAACCTACCAACGGCAAGTACCAATCTGACTTTTTCCGAGTTATATGTACTTTCTAAGATTATTTAGACACCACTGACAAACGGTGAAGGAAAAACATCGTGAGGAAACCTGGACTTATAATTTCTAATTATAAGTTTGAAATCGCCAACCCGCATTGAGCAAGCGTGGTGATTAATGCTCTAACCTTCTCCGTGTGAGAAGAGTGCAGCAGTGGGCATTTATAGGCTGTTGATGATGATGATGATATTATATACACATATTGTTTTAAAGAAACGTTGCCCCGCACTAGGGTTATCTCCTGTGTCGTGGGTGCATTTACAAACATACAAGTTCACGTACATATGACACCCAGACCAGAAACAACAATTTGTGGATCACACAAACTGTTGTTCCGTGCGGGAATCGAACCCGCGACGGCAGCCGGTTGCCACCGCACCAACCGTGCAGTCATATATATTAGTAGTGCATAACAACGAAAGCCCATGCACCCTCGTAAATAAAACCCGGTTCAAGATTTAACTTCAAACGGATACCGTTTGGAAGTTAATCACTAATTATATCTAACAATCAAATCGGAAGTGAACTCCGGAACGAAGGTTCGGTAACGGGACCAACCCTTGCCACTGAGGTACCGTTACCAAAAACCTTTTCTTTTTACTTTTTTTGTAACTTTTTTATTGTCAAAATTTTTCACAGTCAACTTGATCCGGTGTTCCGTTACGTTTCTTCCTTCGATCTGTTATTGTATACTGGTAAACAATGAAATAAGATATCAAAAGTTAAAGAACGTATCGTCTGAATTTGTAGGTCGAACGCTTTGAGGAAATTTCCTCCTGAACTGATCGGAAGGGAATAAAATAAGTATTTCGATATTGTCTTATCCGAACTGTTGTTTTTAATTATTTAGTTCAAAAATAATTTCCTCCTTTAGTTAACAGGTGTCAGCACTATAATCTGTTAAATAACACATATAAACATGCAAGTTTCTTAAATATAAAAAGAAGTGACAATATCGATGATATAAACAACATCTTAGATAAAATTTATACAAACATTTTTAACACAAATTCTCATATTTCCATACATTGTAATCCTAACAAATTAAGGATCATAAAGTAAACTATTCAGATTAAGTAAGTTAGCTTAACTAAGGGAAAAAGACAAGGGTATACTGGACCCATAACATTTTTTATGGGTCGCGAAATCTGAGCCGCGGCAATGGGTTAATCACGTGTAAAATAATCGATGAAAAAAATAATGTTCTTGACCTCACGGGGGTTTGGGAATTGGTGTATACTATAAGACGTTTTGTGGGGTAGGCAGAGTTTCAAGTTGTTTATATTAATTGGTGTTGACAACATTAGTATTGGTAGAGGAATAAGATTTCACGATAACAATCTTGACTAGGTTGATGCTTTGGTTTCCGGATTGGTAAAAAATTGAGGAGTAGTAGATAATTCGTAATTCTGTTTAGTAAGGAGCTGTGCGGTCTACATATGTCTATTTCTTACCACCGATACTCTTCATATGGGTGTCCTATCGTAAGAGGTAGGAGTCATTTAAGGGACGGAGATCGGGGAACAACGCTTAAAACCCTGAACTTTTAAATTCTATCTTCTACTCACCTACCAAGCGTAATATTATGGCAAACCCTCTGATTAGGAAGAATTACATATTCCGATAGTCGACTGTCACCGACCAGCAGGCTTACTCATGAATCCAATTCCGATCGATCGACATTGGTATTGTGAAATTCCGTACTCTTGAGTTGCAACACTAACGCCCATTGCATCCGTATTGCGTGGATATTGAATGAACTAAATGATATTGAGTTTGGCTTCATATTCTGTACTCTGAATGCTATTTTAACACCTATGATAGGGTTGTATAGTTTTGACATTCAATAATTATTGAGAATTTATTGAATTGAAATTGCATTGACATTGAGTTTCAAGAGTACTAGATGATAATGATGATGATGCTGATACCAGTCCCATAAGATGATGAGATGATGGTTACCATTAGCTAGGTTAGTAAATCAGTATGTCAGTATTTCCCCTAAAACATTGATTTCGCGTACGGGAGACCTGCCCATGAAAGTGATTGGACCACACCGAGATTACGAGGACGAAGAGACGCTATTGTAGGTAGTATAGATGTGGCACTTTTTATGTTTTTTATGTTGCAAAAAATAGGATCAGAAAACTCTTGATTTCTTACGTGACGGCACAGAGAAATTAAGAAATAATTGCTTGTCTATCTATGAACTAAATCTTTTAATAGTTATTTTAATTTATATATTAAACTTTATTGCACATATAGTGAAATTGGCGGACTTTTCTAACAGTCGACCATTGGGTGGTGCAGAAAGTTAAAGCGGTAGATACAAAATTATAGAAAAGAAAGTATACTTTAGTAACATTGGGTAGTTATTTATAACGAAATTGAATTGGAAACGAGTAATAAAGAATTCTATAAACAAATTTAGATTAATATTACGGATCGGGTTATGACACTAACAACAACTAAATAAATTAGATATTCTATTTATAACATTTAAATTTTTAGTTTAAAACATTGCATTGTTACCTTCAAATGCAGTTGAATGCCGCATCCAAACTTTTGCACGTCACTGTACAAACAGCCCACCAACACGACAGTTTTGAATTTCACCCAGCAGTGGGTGCATCTCGTGAAAAGTATCGCGGGTTCGGTTCCCGAGTCGGTACGGTGTCGAGTGGTGACTGGTTCACTCCGCCCTGGTATTCCATCAGGTTGGGCATGAATTAACATTGTATGATCTGGGAATACATTCTGGATTATGGTGTTCCTTTTATTTAGGAATTAGATTAACAGTAAAGAAGATAACTTAACCGACGAGCATGCATGAAAAGACTGATGAATGTTGATAAAGCGAAAGAGGTAACTACTTATAACTAGTAATAAAAAATCTGCGATACATAATCTAAATAAAATTAGCGTCCTCCTCTCTTCTACGTTGCCGTGCCCTACAGGGTCCATACTGTACTATATTATTATGTAACACCTTATAAACATATGGAGTGCAATAAACGTATTGAGTATTGAGTATTGGTATGTAAGAATCGTAGCAATTAGCGTTCTATAATGTCTGCCTACCCTCATGAGAGGTCGGCGTTAGGTTATGTACTTATATAGTAAAAAGATAGAGGTAATGTGGTATCCATAAAAATACATTTAATATATAATTGTGTGCAAAACTTGGAAACAAATCATCAAATTCGAGTGAGCAAATTCTTTTTAAAAAAATGATTTTAAATATTGTTACTATGTTGGTAAGTTTACTTCAAAGGTACACAAATACATTTTAAATAATAAGTTCGATAAATATACTACTATAACTCAATTGCCAATTATTTAAATAGACCACATATATTTAGGTGAACGTTCAAGAAAACTTTAAAATGTCGATAAATTGTATTTAACTTCAATAATAATATACATTACTACGCAATTAATGCCGATTCATATTCCTTCCATTCAAAATCTACAAGGTAAAGTAGCCACTGTAATATACATCAACTGAAAAAACTACAGCAATTGACTTGTAACACATTTGTATGCACAATACGTGAATAAGTTACAAGGCTACAACAAGCATTGTGCCGTAGAATAGAGTCGCCAACCAAACGCTACCTACAATACACAGCGCCCGGGGGAACAAATAATTAATGATGATTGGCCTTAAATTACCCTCTCGGGACCTCTTGTGTCCCCCTCACACATGTACAACCTATCCCGTCGAACCTTTTCGCACAAACCTGGACCCTATATAAGCAACACAGGTAACCGCGCAGTTTAGACCCCTGTGGGACATCGAACCGTTCGCACCTGTGCCGCCGTGAGCTAAAATGACCGCCGAAACTTACGGACACCGACTCATCTACGAGAAAGACATGTTCGCGTCTGACGTGATGTTGGAGTACTCCACTGAGGAGTGCTACTTGTCCTGGCCGAGGTCGCCTGACTCGGGCAGGTCCAGCCTTGAGCCGACACCTTCTATTGACGGCAGCATCAACCAGGATTCATCACACATCGCCTACAGAGGATTGTCGCGAGATGTTTTGGAAGACAGTGCTGAAGATAATGAAGTTCTGGAGTCGGGGAAGAGGCGTGGACGAGCTACTAGTGCTGCAGTGTTGAGGAGGAGACGTCTAGCAGCCAATGCTAGGGAAAGGAGGAGGATGCAGAATTTGAATAAGGCCTTCGACAGACTCCGAGGCCATCTCCCTTCGCTGGGCGCTGACCGTCAGCTCTCCAAGTACGAGACGCTTCAAATGGCACAAACGTACATCTCCGCACTATATGAACTGCTGCAGTAAGTTGCACCACACATAGCCGCTATTTGCCAAATTAGAATTAACTACAGGGATATTTATTTAAAGTTTAAGTACCGTAATACTCGTTACCACTTAGTTTAATGTTTAATTTGCTTCAAGTTTTCCGATTTCGAAATTTTTACTTTGGAAGTGTCGAGTTTCTGTATCGGTTTACGTTTAAAACTTACGCTTATTATATTTTTAAGTAGTCTTAAAGTTAAAGACAGTGTTTACATTGAAACAGAGTAACTTAGCAGTGTAAAAGTTGACCTTAGTGTTCATCAAATCTAATATTTTAATGTGAAAAATCTGTGTATCTTTTAGCCCTCTTTAGTCAACATTCAGGTCTTAAATAAATCAATGTAAATTAGTCTAGTTTTAGTTGTAAGCACATCTCAACAGTGTAATCCGTCCTGCCGACTTAGACTTAGGTATTAACTTAGGAACTAGATTTTCATCTTTTGCCTGTACCAGTATTATTATAATTCACTCTGAGTGTACATTTTAGTGTTAATTATTGAAGTGACAAGATTAATAAGTTGTTTATATTAATTTTAAGTTTGTGAAAGTATCTAAGGGGTGTTTATAAATCAGCTCTTTCTCTAACAATATTTGTATTTGTTTTATGTAAAAGGTAACATAATTATATATTTTTTGTCATGTTCATTGTATTTTAAAGTGCGAGACGCTCAAAAGTAACATTTCAATTATTTTTAATTCTACTATTTAAAAATATGTGTTTAATAAGCTTATTGATTCTATATTTTTCTGGTTACCATCATTAAGGCACCATTGTATATATAATTTAGTTATCCCTGCATGTTTACATTGTATTTTGTCACTTCTGTATTTAATCATAAAGACTAGAATCAATTAAAAGGCAGTATAATAATGTTTATTAGATTGTAGATTGTTTACGTAGTTCTAAGTAGCTTCGAAATGATTTTCCAATGTGTAAATATAAAAATATGTTTAAAAAACATTGTCGTTTTCTTCCTTTAAAAATACCTGATTATTTTCTTACACACACATTCTCATATGGTATAATAATTTTTAAAATTATGACTATACCTATACTATATGTGAATAAATTGGCAAGTCAAATTCAAAATCATTTATTTCAATTAGACCAGAAAGGCACCTTTGAACGTTAACAAAAAAATAAAAGTGAAGCTATTTGCTCATTCCAAGGTGTAGCTTCCTATGGAGGAGAACGAGAAAGAAACTCCATAGGTCACTCTTTTTCAATCAGGTTCACAATACAAATCAGTCTTGACCATCTTTACGTTAATATTAATTTCAGATCGAATGTCTCAATTTAATTGTTACTTTCATCGAATATTATTCAATTATAAGACTCGTAGGAGAGCTTCGGCACGAATGGGCCGGCTCGACCGGAGTGATATCACGGCCTTACAGAAAACCGACGTGAAACAACGCTTGCGTTGTGCATTGTTAGCGGAGGTCAAATTAGGCCGTGTAGGTAAAAGCCATATAAAAATATACGAGCATCAATGAAAGCGGTCCTGTAGTGAGCATCATTACATTTGTACCATACATTAAACTTAGGTATATCATTTTTCGTCAGAGGCTTAATATGCCCTAAGCCCTAGGCCCTTGCCCGCTTCTAATACAAAAGAATGCGAGTTCCAAACTGGCAACGGCAAGTACCAATGTGACTTCTTCCGTGTTATATGTACTTTCTAAGATTATCTAGACACCACCATAGAATTATAACGCCTATTAATCTAAGGACACCACTGACAAACGGTGAAGGAAAACATCGTGAGGAAACCTGGGCTTATAATTAATCCTTAATTATAAGTTTGAAATCGCCACTCCGCATTGTGTAAGCGTGGCGATTAATGCTCAAACTTTTTCCGTATGCGAAGGTCAACAGTGGGCATTTATAGGCTATATTATAGGCTGTTGATGTGTTAATATAATTCCTATAATCCTGAATTCAAACTCCTAACCTATTTCCCCAGTAATTTTATTCCCCATGGAATCCTTAACCAGTCTATCGATGGTGCCACAGCAAGAGTGACAGGACAATCAGTCAACATCCACTCTATGCAAAACAGGGCAGATGTTACAAAAACCAGCCTAAAATTAACTTTGCAACTGAAAAACGTATGCAATTTTGAACCTTGGCTCTTGGAGATAGAAACGAAGAGGTTGGTGGAGAGGGGTCAGTGAAACAGTGTCCGGTGGATGACATTGTTTTTTAATAGAAATAGGGCAATTGTTTTTATCAGTTTGTATGTTTTTTTATTTGTATGTAGGTGTGAGAGCGTCACTAGTGAAGTAGTTAAAGGCACAACTGGTAAGCAAGAGATCTTTAGTTCTATGTCAGGGCAGGGATTGAATGTATGAAACAGATTCTCCTAAATAGTATGAAGTATGAAATTAATAGGCGATAATAAGCGGGAACTGAGCGTTCACTTACAAGCATTTTAAACTCTATATTATTACTAGCTTTTACCCGCGGCTTCGCTCGCGTCACAAAAGGATAAAAAGTAGCCTATGTGACATATACCAATACACACAGCGCCATCTATACCAATATTTTGGTTTTCCCTCGGGAATATCAAATTTTTCTGGGATAAAAAGTATCATATTATTTAATCCGGACTTTAAACTTTACGTCTGCAAAAATTTAAAGCAATCGGTTTAGTAGTTACGGCGTGAAAGTGGAACAAACAGACAAACAAACAAACTCACTTTCCGATTTATAATATTAGTAAGGAAGGATGGATACCGCGCAACGTGTCGCAGTTTCGATTCCCGCACGGAACATCTCTTTGTGTAATCCATAGATTGTTGTTCCGGGTCTGATTGTCATGTGTATGTGAACTTGTATGTTTGTAATCGCACCCACGACACAGGAGGAAATCCTAGTGTAGGGCAATGTTGTCTTTATCTAGTATAAATCAAAATGATGATATAAATCCAACTTATTGAGCACATAGCATAATAAGGCTATTGACGTTTTTTTTAAGGCATAAGCCGGTAAACGAGCATACGGATCATCTGATGGTAAGCAACCTGCGACGCCCATGGACACCTGGAACACCAGAGGCGTTACAAGTGCGATGCCGGCCTTTTGGGGATTAGGATTTTGAGGATCGTTGGGGATTCAGGAATTGGAGAGATTAGGGAAGGGGAGGGTAATTGGGCCTCCGGTAACCTCACTCACACGACGAAACACAATGCAAGCGTTGGCTCACGTCGGTTTTCTGTGAGGCCGTTGTATCACTCCAGTCGAGCCGGCCCATTCGTGCCGAAGCATGGCTTACTGTAATAAGTTTGCCGGACTTATATATGATAAGTCAAATCAAGTCTTAGCTTAAATAACTTTTACTTCAATATTTAAATTTTTTATAAAGCATGTCATAAGATTCTTTACAGCTATCTCTATGAAAAAAGCTATCTAGAACACCCATAATTTTCCAAAAAAACACTAAAAAAGGTGATTATAACTATTTTATTAAGACACACCGGTGTATAATTAAAAGAAACGTAACGTGCGAACGTAATAACGGGTTCCGTACACTTTTTAACCGTCAACGAAACGTCTTAATTCCAAATGTCAAATTTGACAAGTAGGTGTATGCGCAGGAGTGCAATGTCATGCGCGATTCTTTGCAACGTTCCGAACATCGTTGGGTGATTGATATGCTATCATTATAAATGTCATTTATATTGTTAATTTGATGCCGATCTCAATTTTTTTTATCCGTGTTAAAAAGTTGAAAATTGTTTGGTTTAGTCTTATTGTTTCTTTATTTCTTTCTAGATTTTTCGCATTTCTTAAAAGTATCATTCTTGTTTGAGACAGAATAAATAGTTAATCTTACTTCTATCCCATTTTTTCAACTACTATTATACGTGAACTCAAAATAATGATTGATAAATAACTGAACATGCCTTTTGAAGCCAATTCTAATAAAAGGAAGTATTTAATTCTACAGCTGAACAGAAAAAAGATCAATAAGCTTTACTCTAAAAAAAGTAAACTCCCCTATTTGACATTACCAGCGCATGCGCTTTAGCTCTATGAATGCAAACGTTTCCATTGGTTAACCACTGACCAATGAGAGGTCGGCTCATAGAGCACGATTTGAATTCAATTGTCGAATGTACATAGATTAAGTGGCTGGTCTTTTTGTACTAGGTATAATTCTTTTATATTATTTTCATTGTTATTGAAGATGAAGTGTAAAGACGTTTAGGGTGAAGTAATTTGAATTCTATTTTAATGTTATCAGCGTTTATTTTATAACATAATAGTACAATCTTGGAGTTTAGACATCTTGGAGTTTTCCGCATTATCATCATCATTACCTTTTTCCAAGATATGTATATGAAGGTACTTTCTAAGATTATTTAGGCACCACTGACAAACGGTGAAGGAAAACATCGTAAGAAAACCTGAGCTTATAATTTCTAATTATAGGTTTAAAATTGCCAACCCGCATTAAGCAAGAGTGGCGAATGATACTCAAAACTTCTCCGTGTGAGAAGAGGCTCTTGGTCAGCAGTGGCTACTTATAGGCCGTTGATGTTATTGATGTTGATTCCCATCATTAGTATATTACTCAGTAAAAGTCCACTCCCGGCCTCCTGTACTTACATAAACGGGATTAACATAATCAACACCCCTGGCTTTAATTTTGGACTAATGACGTGTTAATCCAAGGTTTATAAAACTACCTTTTTCATTTCATCCCTTATTTTAATAACATATCTATCATAAGTATCCCTTTCATCTCATCTTGACACCAAAATGTGTTGATTATCGTCAAATTATAACTTTTATTTTTAATTGCTCGTATAGTTATGATGTTTCTCTTATATTTGAAATTTTAATAGGTTTCTTTTGTCTTAAATAATTTGGCAACACAACTAACATTGAGCTTAAGAAATTAGTCAGTCAATGTTGCAAAGTAAAAATAATAAACTTTGTGCCAATACGGTAGTTTCCTAAATTTTATTTAAATGTCCGTCTGGAACAATAATTTAAAACCTTAGACACGTATTTTTTCATTTCTCACAAAATTAAATACTTTCGACGTTAGATTAATTTGAAATATCGTGTGACGTCACAGCATGTCACATTTTGTAGCACGTTATGACGTAAAAGCCTCCCACTCCTAAAATTAACTTCGTTTTATCTAAGTATTGTTTTGTAAAACGACAAAATAAAAAAATACGTGTCTAATATTTTTTCATTATCTAACTGACGGACTAATTAGATTGTTAATTTTGATACCATGGAATCTACTCAATTACAAAACAAAAAGCACCAGGCGTTTGGAAATCTGACCAAAA